AAACGTAAGAAACAAAAATTCTGTAGTTACACTGTACAACAAGTATATGACAGAATATCAGAATGGGTTGGAACTATTAAAATACTCAATGTAAAGGATGGTCTCGATCTCCTGACCTCGTGATCCGCCCGTCTCGGCCTCCCAAAGTGCTGGGATTACAGGCTTGAGCCACCGCGCCCGGCCTCTCTGTTCTAATTTTTAAACATTTTGACCTTTGGGGTATGTGCTTCCTTCTCTTCCATTATAGGCATTTAAAGCTCTAAATTTCCTTCTAAATACTGCTTAAACTCCATGCCGTATGTTTTGGTACTCATGTTTTCATTGAGCGGTGTTACACATTTGGTATTTTCTATTCATTTTTCTACCTTAATAATTATTTAGAAGTTTCTAAAATAATGGGGCAGTGTAACTATTATATTGATTTTTGGTTTTATTGCATTGCTGTCCGAGAATGTTTTATGTGATTTTGGTCACTGGTGTTTGTTTGAAATTTGCTTTTTGACATATTATGCTTTTTATAAATGTTTCATGTGTGCTAGAAAGAATATGTTTCCTGGGAATCTCTGAGCCTCCTCTGGCTCAGGAGGCTGCCCATAACAACAACAAAAATAATGAAAAGAATGTGTTTCCTGTAATTTTGGGTGTAGAAATTATCTGTGTTCTTTACATCTTCTACCACTATGATTATACATTTATCATTTTCTCTTTATAATTTTGGCAGTGTATTGTGTATACACACACATACATACACACTGAAGTTCCAACTTACTATTTCTTCAATGTGAATTCTTTTTATTCTTTTATCATTATATAGTGGCCCTCTTTTTCCATTACTTTTATTTTGCCTTAAAGTTTTAAAAATGATGATAATATTGTTATGTTTAATTAAAAAATATTTTTCTAGTACAGTTTATCCATCTATTTACATAATAATCTCTCTGTCTTATCATGTTCTAGGTAGTGTCTTGGCTGAATTTTTAAAAATCCTGAAAATTTCCATCTTTTTGTACAGAAATTCAATATGTTAATATTTATATGTATTTTGATTATTGATACATGGTTCATGTTGTGCTTTCTATTTATCTTTTTTTTTTTTTTTTTTTTTTTTTTTTTCTCACTTTGTCAACCAGACTGGAGTGCAGTGATGAGATCTTGGCTCACTACAATCTCCACCTCCCAGGTTCAAGCAATCCTCCTTCAGCCAACCAAATTCAAAATATTTACGAAGGAACTTGGCTCTTTGGCCACCTAATCAGTCTTTTAGTTGCGAAGAGAAATAAAAAATTCGTAGTATAGTTTGGAATTTCTGCCACTCACAGGCCAAGCCTCAAATTATTACTTATATAATTGCATGAAAAACCAATTATGGCCAAAAAAAAAAAAAAAAAAAGCTCATTGGGCAA